TTTAAATATATCATCTACAGTACATAATATCATCAAAAGATTCTGAGGATCTGGAGAAATCTCTGTGCACACGGGACAAAGCCGAAACGAAATATTGGATGCACGTGATCTTCAAGTCCAGTTTGATATGACTATCTTCCAATAGTATTTGTAATACTTTTTCATCCAAAACTAAAAATAAGAAGTGTGTTTGCGGGGGTGAGGAGAAGGTGGGTGGGCGTGGGGAGTATCGCAGGAGGTACAGGAGCAGTAAGGGAATTTTTTTTCTTTGCATAGTCTATTTTTTATTAAACTAAGACAAAGTTTTGCGATACAGAAAGAAGGAAGGGAGGGGGTATGCAGGAAACATATACTTCAACAGAAGGCGATCCACAGAAGCCATCAGTACAAACCTGTTAGAAACGGTTTCAGAATACACAGGGTTATGTACAGATCATTCTTTAATGTTAGTACAATGTGTCATAGTATATGCTGCATCAATCCAGATGTGGATAAGCTTTAATAAAGGAACACGACTCTGGGATATCAAGGGGTACGTATGTCCAACATGGCTGCTGCTGCCTGAGAAAGCTTAAAAAGGAACATTTCCTATGCCCCTCTGCTGCAGCTAGTGGCAGTAATGCTGTGCAAATGGACGGGTACAGTTCACATTGCAATGGAATGCACTGAAAAAAAAGTACTACATGCAACAGCATTGCACTGTGCTTTGCCCATAGAATGTAATAAAATGCCACTTGTGACATTTTAATAAAGTTCTAACAACTTAACGGTAAACATTGTGATGCACCATATGAACGCATGGTCACTTTGGCTTCAAACTCACACCAGCAACTGTGAGTTGTAGTTGGTGTTGGTGTGAATGTACATTTTTATTTTTGCAATTTTATGTTTATGTCCACATTCATTTTACAATTGTTCTATTGTATGCATTAATTTAGCCCTTCTATATGTATACATCTAACCTTATAGATTTGATTGAATTTCATGTAATCATTTTATTGTCAAGTTATTGTTTGTGTGCAATAATTGGTGGTGTATACTTATATGCCTGCATACTTGGATGTCATTTTTTTATCATTATGATTTTTATATTCTTATAGTCCTGATGAAGGGTGAGTGGTTTGACCCCCCAAACTCATTGTCTGTTATTATTTGACCCATTTACCAACAATTAAAGTCACCTTGGAGTCTTCCATGTTTTTGGTCTTGAGCTCCATTCAGTATTTCTATGGGATTTCTATTGGGATAAGCCTTGCCGAGTGGGAGCCTCCTCGCCAGAGCTATTAAGCTTGTTTGATGATTTCTTCAACTGACTTAATAAACACATTTGAAAATTCCCAACGCTTCCCAAAACAATGTTTCTCTGGAGTTTACTCCTGAAACTCCGCTAACCTCTATAGGGAGAAATTGCAAATCTGATAATGCAATACAGTCATGACAATATGAAGCTGAAAGCATTTCAAACCGATCATTAGAAATACCTTTTGTCGTTACACTGCAGCTTAGTGTGTTTTTAAAAATATGTATTTATGTGAACAAGATGCATAGGAATGAATTGGATTTCTGCTTGTAGTCAAGTGTGTGTGTGTGTGTGTTTTACTGCAGAAGAAGAGACAAGTGTGAACGGGCTCTACTAGCGCAGTGTGTACTCCATGAAAATATAAGAAGTTTAAATGGAACAGCAGCATACTCTGGTGGTCATTCTGTTAAACAGATCCCAGATATTTGCTTTATGGCGTTATTACAGGAGATTACAGGAATGTTTCCGGAGAACACCTAAATAGAATAGGATTTTATTTTCCAGTACAGGTCAGAATCTAACTGGTTGTACTAAGTTATCTGAGATTTTCAGTTTCATAAATAAGTTCTATTAATATCTTCTATACTACGGGTTCTTATTGAAGAACCTAAATATTTAGAACATGTGAATTCTTACACAAGAAAGATGTAAAAAAAATCTGTGTATATACAGAGGGGCCCAAAAAAATGTATACACACTTCAACATGAGAAATATATGCATAAAAATTTTATTAGTAGATTTATATAAACATCAAAGGACAGCTGTAGGTCCTCTTTGAGTTATGCAGTCACATTAGGTGCAAAGTGGTCACCTTTAGCATCCAGACACTTTTGATTTCGGTGCACTACTGCTTGAACAACATTGACTAGAGTGTCCACAGGGATTGCTCTGCTTGATATTTTAATTCCTTTCTGTATTGCAGCCAGCGTAGGTGGTTTTCTACAGCATACCACATTCTTTAGTGTTCCCCACAGATAGAAATCGAGGGGTGTTAAGTCCGGGGAACGTGGAGGGAACTCAACAGCACCTCTGCGTCCTATCCAACGTTCTGGCAGAATGTCATTGAGAGGCGCTTACGGCTCAGTGGTAGTGAGCTGGTGCGCCATCTTGCTGGAAGTAAAATTGCTCATCCGCATAAAGCGCACGAACGGCCGGTTTGTCAAAACCACTCGCAGTACTCCAGTCTCCGATCAGGGTCATCTTCAATAATGGCGTGTAACAGTCTCGGGATATAAAATTTCCAATGTGCTCTCTTCAGAATACGTTGTATGCTTGATCTGCTAATTCCTGTCTCACGTGCACATTATTTGACAGACTTTTGTGGTGAGCGTGTTAACTGTTGCTACAACTAATCTGAGGAAGCAGTGCTTGTTGCTGTGCGATGCCTCCCTGATCTTTGCTTGTGCACATCACACAGTTTCATCGGTTTCGAACTTATCATGAATCGGTGCAATTGTTAGTGGTGTAGGTGGGTCTGTTGCAAACTCACAACGCCACTGTCGTCTAACTTTACACACATTTTCAAATGCACAACACCACTTCAAAATGGTCTTGCGTTGCTCGAAAAGTCAAGGGTGCCTCCGCCATTTTCTTTGACTCTTTCCTGACAGTCACATGATGATATCAACAATGGTGCGACTACTGATATCTTTAGAGGAAACATAATACTGCACATTGCTCCCATAATTCAATACGGGTTTTAAAAAAGGGTATAGATAACAACTGTTGAAGCGTGTATTCATTTTTTTTGTGCCCCTCTGTATCCACGAAAGTGTGTCTGTTAAATCAGTGGCGGCAAGTGCAGAAGTGTGCAAGGGTGTCATGGCGGCTATTGTAGAAGTGTGTGGCAGTGCAATTGCAGCAAGTGTAAAAGTGTGTGTCAGCGCAGTGGCAGCAACTGCAGAAGTGCGTGTCGGTGCAGTGGTGGGGACTGCAGAAGTGCGTGTCGGTGCAGTGGTGGGGACTGCAGAAGTGCGTGTTGGTGCAGTGGTGGGGACTGCAGAAGTGCGTGTCGGTGCAGTGGCGGAGACTACAGAAGTGCACGTCGGCGCAGTGGCGGGGACTGTATTGACAATAAAGTGGCCTGAAAACACCATTACCTTGTGTGTATTTTACAAGCGGTATTACCAAGCACTGCAGGCTGCTTGTGTTGTCTCCAACACCAAAATCCTGATGTCTGCCCTAAGAAGTTTCTAATTGCCACCAGTTAGATTCGTATTTTGGAAAAGAAAGGAGAAGAGAGAACTAAACTTAGTAAATGGTCTCATTTGAGCAGGTATGAACTGCAAACACTTAAAGGAGAACTATGGGGTTAGGGCTTTTCCCCATAGTTCTCCTTAGGGTAACGGGAGGACACAAACTAGAGTCCTCCCGTCACCCTAAGCTCAGTATACCGCGAGCTACAGCTCGCGGTATACTGAGACGCCGCAGCCGGAGCGGATCCTGACATCGATGTCGAGATCCGCCCAGCTGCGTGAGTGACAGCTGGCTCTGCCTATCTAGAGGCAGAGCCAGCTGTACCCGCCCCCTCCCCCGTCCGTTCCGCCAGTCAGCGCTGGCGGATCGGAGCGGGGAGGGGGGAATCCAGCCCCTCCCCTGTCACGGCAGAGAGCCGTGACAGGATCGAGAGGTGAGCGAACGCCGGTATGTGTTCGCTCACTTCCCGATCCACTGAGCCGACCTGTGACAGTCTCATTGTCACAGGTCGGCTAGAACTATGAGCTGAGTGAAAAGCACTCTCCTCATAGTTCTCCTTTAAGATGCACATACTTGCAGCAACCTCAGAAATTCTCAGGCTCTCTTTCTCTGACTCTCAGGCCGTTCTGTCACTTCCTAGTGACGCTGCTTGCTAACCCCCCCCGCTTCCCACCATTGGTCAATCACTATGATGAGCAGCATTCCCAGCCTATAGGAAAAGCACATGAGGTTGGTTAAGGTAGGCAAGCTTTGGCTCTATTAGGAAGTGCTGTAGCTCTTCCTGCCAGAACAACTTGCATTTCATACAACAGTAGCGTCTCTCTCCCAAGTGAGTATTTTTAGTGTTCATTTAGGTGAGCCTAAGTATCACCACTGTAAAAAAAATACCCTAAAACCTTAAAGTTGAACTCTAGGTATGCATTAATTTGCATACTTACAATGGTTCTGTAATGGAGCTGAGCTGATTGGCTTCCCCTCTGCTCTGAAAACACAGGGGGTTGCTTGCTTAGCAAAGTGGCCATTCAGAAAAGCCTAGTATTTTGATCAATAAATTCAAGGCTTTCTCTGACTGGGCGGGGGGCATTTATGTCACAATCCGCCCCTCGTCCAATCCAAGAATACGTAGTTTTCACTGATAAAAATATTAGGCATTCTCTGAATTGCCGCTGTGCCAGGCGAATGACCCCCTGTGTTTTCAGAACAGAGGGAAAGCCACACAGCAGAGTATCAGCACCCAGAAGATTGTACCAGCCCTGTAGTAGCTCTGGCTACTACAGTGCTTTACAGGTTTGGCTTTAAGGAAAACCGGTCAAGTGCCTACTTCCCCTGCCCACCTTCTTTACAACATACGAATTGCTCCAAGTCTACAGGTACATTTTAATAAGATCACTCTTTGTATATGTCTTGCAAGAGCTCTTTTTTTGCCTGTTCTGGCTTAGATGTACCAGTGATTGAAGGATAGATTTTGTTTTCTTAATATGTCTTTATCCTTTATTATTTTAGATTTATGGAGAATTTACAGACAGAAGTTCAAGAAATGGAGTTTGCCCAGTTCTCGAAGGGATTGAACTTCTTGAGAAAGGAGGATTTTGCAGAGTGGCTTCTTTTCTTCACTGATGAGGAGAACAATGACATCTACTGGCAGAATGTGAAATCCAGGATTCCTCCAGGCGAAGTGTGTTCAGCAACTATTACGATGAGAGCCAATAAAAATAACACTGCAATGTTTACCTCTGATCACCCTTCTAGCAATCTGTTGTCTGCCAGGTGTCTCTCTCATGTTGTCGTTACTATGATAACAATAAGCTCTGCAAGTTCATTCTTTTCTTTTATACATACTTTACAATGTGGTCATGTTCTGCCATTGGACCTCCAGTTGAATTTTATGATGACCACAGTTAAGTTTTTTCATAAATGCATTTTAATAGATTATTTGATCAAAGTGGATCTTTAAAAAAAAAAATCAAATTCTAACAGTACAATCAATATTGGTCAAGTTTGTTTAAAAACATGATGTCGTAGGATGGATCTCATCCATCCCATCAAGCTGCGACAGTGGGAATGCTGAAATACAGGTGAAACTCGAATTATTAGAATATCGTGCAAAGTTCATTTATTTCACTAATGCAACTTAAAAGGTGAAACTAATATATGAGATAGACTCACTACATGCAAAGCAAGATAATTCAAGCCGTGATTTGTCATAATTGTGATGATTATGGCTTACAGCTCATGAAAACCCCAAGAACCCCAAATCCACAACCTCAAAAAAGTAGAATATTACATGCAATCAATAAAACAAGGATTGTACATAGAACAATATCGGACCTCTGAAAAGTACAAGCATGCATATGTACTCAGTACTTGGTTTGGGCCCCTTTTGCAGCACTTACTGCAATTACTTTTGCACGATATTCTAATTATTCGAGTTTCACCTGTAGTATGGAATGCATGGCTTGTACTACATACACTAATTGTAACTCTTTGTATTTCTAGAACATCAGCTTGGAGGAATTTAAGAACTTTTATCATTTCATGAACAACTTGGAGGATTTCTCCATCACAGTGAAGATGTTTAGTGTGGCCAACAGGGCGGTGAAATTAGGTGAGCGCACCAAACACGTTATTACAGCAGAGGGGAAAGCAGCCCTTGAAGCAGAGCTCGGGGTAGAATTTGTATTAACCCTTGCAGCAGGGCTACCCCCGCATTGCAAGGGTTAAGTGCTCATTTGTTTTTAGGTTCAAAATAACAAAAACGAACCCTATTATTGTTTAGGCACTTCCTGTTATAGGTTGACAATGTTCTGTCCCTGTCTCCCAATTGTGCTCATGTCACCCTGTCACACAAGCTTCAAATGAAGACTACAAGTGACCATTTCAGTGCACACTACATAGGTATGACCTACTGTTGTCATCATCTGGAAATCTACCCTGAGAAGTACAGTGCACCCATTGTCAGAGTGCATATACAGTAGACATCAGAGAGGCTGCGGGAGATCTGCAGCACTCAGATGCAACAAGGAGAGAAAAGGAATTTAAATAAACAGCAGACATTTATGATACACCATGTTTTAGTAAATTGAATGTCATTCACTTAGGGTTTACATCTACTTTAAAAGGCAAATCTTATACTGTTAAAGTATACATCTACTCATATATGGGTGCTTCTCAACCCAGTATGGTCTATATGCCAGTTCAACCTGTACCAGCAAAGAAATCTGGCCACAAAGCCAAACTTAAACAGCTGTAAAACTTTGACAAATTCATGTGTTGAAGAAGATTAGACTGCCAGCTCTTGAATCAGATTGGGCAATCGGAGAATTTAGTGTATGACGAGCTTCAGTCAATTTAAAACTGAATTGATTGTCTGGTGGGAACTGGCTTTGTCAGTCTCTAACTTAAAGATTTTATGATGCAGTGATAGTATCTTCTACGGATATTTTGGATCCACCCTCCCCACCATGATGGGGTCTTATCTTACTTAGCTTTATTTCAAGCAGTATAGTCATACGGCTCCCTTCACTATGGTAAATCCATCAGAATATGTGTAATGTTTGTATAAAAGCTGAACGATCCCAGCTGCAGAGTGAAGACAGGTAAAGTGTATCTGGGGGACTGTTCCCTGTTGGTGCCCCTGAATGCAGTAAGGTGTGAGTAGAGCAGTGAGCATTATACTGTCAACATAATACTGAGATATCAGTTTTGGTTTAAAACTATTTACGATTTTATGTATCTCAATGATATAAAAAAGCCAAAACATTACCAAAGTTCATCTATCGTGGTCTACAGGGAAACATCTTTTTTCTATTCATGGCTTCTTAAAGAGAAATGTCACCTTGCACATTTAGGAAAAAATAAGTACTTAAATCCAATTTCCACTTTTACAGCCAAATTGGGTCAACACCTATTTTATATTGGATCTTCTCATTCACATTGCATACCTTTAAAAAGTTAAATATTGCTGCTTTGTCCGTCCGTCCGTCCTAACAGGGGGTTAAAGGTCTCGAAGCATTGTATGCTAATGAGAGGAAAGCATAGGGACAAACTCCACTTTTCATAATATAACAAAAGCCTCTTCCACAGAAACAACTTTGGTATGCTGTGTGAATAGGAACACATAATAAACATATAGTAGGGTTTTCTCAAATGTGGCTGCAAAAGTGGAAATACACTTGAAGGGCGTAGAGAGTCCCAGATATTTATACATGAAAACAAAGAAAATACGAGTGCCCCGCTCCATCAGAAGGGCCAGTGGCTCTGTCCGTAGGAATGAACTATAGCACAGCAATCGTCATGCCAAGCAGAACTGTTCAGCTGTATGCCTCTAATTCCCACCAATTCCCAAGAACCTTTCTGGCATTGCACTTAAAGATTGACTTTTTTTTACTTACTAACAATAAGCATAATACAGACATGGACATATTTGTTGGTATCCACAAAAAAAAGAAGCCACAATTTTCTCTGAAATAACCTAAAAATGACCAATGTAATACTGGTAGCCATTATTGTTTCATATTTAATCAAAATCAGACTTTGCTTTTGATGTTTGATTCCACTGATTAATTTCAATAATAAAACAAATGAATGTTATAAACAAACATGATGGGATACTTAATCTAATATTTTGTTGTACAACCTTTAGAAGCAATCCCTGAAAACGGGCAATTTCTGTAGCTCTCAGTGAGACTTCTGCACCTGTCAATGGGTGGTTTGGCTCACTCTTAAGCTGGCCATCCACCTATAGATTATCTGCAGATTTTCTATGGTCAGATGGGAAAAGTGCAACAGATTCCTCCATCTACGCTAAGCTGTGTGGATGGAGGAATCTCCCACTGGGCCAAGCTTCAGTATCTTGCTAGTCGGCCCCGCTGGCTCTCAAAAGACCTGAACAGTGCCTGCATCCAATCAGATTGTTCGGGTATTTTGACAGCCAGCGGGGCCGACTAGCAAGATACTGAAGCTTGGCCTAGTGGAAGATTCCTCCATACACACAGTTTAGCGTAGATGGAGGAATCTGTTGCACATTTTCTGACCGTAGAAAATCTGCAGATAATCTATAGGTGTATGGGCAGCTTTATGGAGCAAACTCTTCCAGCTATCTCAGGTTTGATGGGTGCCTTCTCCAAATTACATGTTTTAGCTCTTTTCATAGATATCCAATGGAATTCAGATCAGGACTCATAGAAGGCCACTTCAGAATAGCTCAAGGGTTTCTTCTTAGCCATTCTTGCTTGGTTTTAGCTGTGTGTTTTGGGTTATTATGCTGTTGAAAGGACCCATGATCTGTGACTGAGCTTTCTGACACTGAGCTGTTTCCTTCCTTGATAGTCTTGAGATTTCATTATACAGATTTATGGTACCCATACCAGATGCAGCAAAACAGCCCCAAAACATAACCATGCCTCCTCCACATTTTATAGTAGGTATCGTGTTTTCTTTGAAAGTTTCATATTTTTCGCCTGTGAACATAGAGCTGATGTGATTTGCCAGAAAGCTCTAGTCTAGCTCCAGCTTTTGTCTCAGCTGTCTGAGACATGCTCCAGGGATTGTGGCTTGTGTATGCATTTTAGCAAACTCCAATGTGGCTTTTTTATGTTTTTGTTTTAACATTGGAGTCTTCCTTTCAGCCCACAGCATCTAAAAATGTAACGGATGGTGTGATCAGACACTGGTGTACCTTGACTTTGGAGTTCAGTTGGAACTCTTTGGAAGTTTTACTTGACTCTCTGTCTACCATATGCAATCATATGCAGAGAGCTTGGCTACATTCACATTGACCTTAAATTTCATAATATTATTTGCAAGTGTGGTCACAGGAAGATCAAGCTGCTTGGAGATGGTCCTATAGCCTTTACCTTTTGACATGTTGGTCTATAATTTTCTTTCTCTCCTTTTGCTTTCTCTGCTCAATGTTCAGTGTGGTACACATGATGATACCAAACAGAAGAGTGACTACTTTTCTCCATTTACATAGGCTGACTATTTCAGGAGGAATGAAGCATTATTTTAATGAGCTGTGAGGGTACCAACAAATTTGTCCACATCCGTTTTTGTGCTTTCTCTCATGTTGAAGTACAAAGTAATTATTCATCATTTATCATTACTAGCTGAATTCAAGAGAGCTGTTAAAGTGGCAACAGGCCAGGAACTATCAGAAAACGTGTTGGACACAGTTTTTAAGATCTTTGACCTGGATGGGGACAACTGCTTGAGCCACGGAGAGTTCCTGGGCGTTCTCAAGAACAGGCTGCACAGAGGCTTAAAGGTAATATAACTCTGCAGGTTTTGTGAGTTTATTTGGAGGAAATTAAAGTATTGTACAGTTATGAAGAGTCTCAAACATGTTCAAACAGCATTATATTGCAAAATGTAAAGCCAAATTCCAGGTAGAAGTTAAATCACAATTGTATCTAGTTAGGCCTTCATGAAAAAAATAATAAATGTACTTTTACATTAAACCAGAAGTCCTTGAATTTATCTGGATACCCGATTCTTGTAATCTCCTGCACAGCAGCACTTAGACTAGAAGAAGGAGATGCATCATTCTGATCCAGTCAGAGCTCTCTTGCTTTGCACAGTTTTGTCAGTCTAACACAATGTTCATACTTACAGGAAGGTGAAGCATAAGTACCAGCTTATACACCTGTGCTTAGTAATTAGTATCGTATGTAATATATGTAGATCAATATACACTTATGGAATATAAAGGGACGCATAAATGGAAGAGTAGTACGTTTTATACTAACAAAATTAACACATCAGTAAATTCCAATCAGGAATGCAGAGTAAAATGTACTAACCCAAAGCTACTATTTATTCTTCATCAGACACCCTGAGATTGCTGAAATGTGGATTTGGATTGGCCCTTGATATTCAGTTCTGTTTACTGCTGTGTTTACATTCCCTAGGCAAAGACTCAGTTCACTGACATGGATGAATTTTAACTCCGTATACTATTTAATCTCATAATAATGTTCTCCTAAAAATGTTTAATTCACAATAATAGTTCATTGTCAGATTGTTATTTCTTTGCATAAAATGGGTATTTAATCATTGAACACCCCATCTGATTAATCAGTATTATTCTAATGATTTATTTTATCACCACCTCAGTCTCCCGTCCCTGCTCTCCTCATTGGGCACCTCATGGATACTCACACTTTTTAACAGACAGAAGGAAGTAGTGTTTTAAAGAGCCAAAACCCATCTTTGTGAATACATGTAAAATACATCAGAACAGGATACATTTACATACAGTGAATTCAGCGAAATATGCGCCTACCTACAGAGAGTTGTAAAATATACTTTTAATTATAAAATGGATAACAATTGGTAACAAAAATTCACCATACACTATGCTTTTGTAAATTGTGCCTTGGTGATGGTTCCACCTAACTGCATGCCTTTTAAATGAGGATAATCGCTATTTCCAGACATTCCTCCATAGCAGGCAGAAATGGCCCATTGTTATATCCCTCATACTGCTATTTGTATACCTTTAAGTCATCACAGGATATTTAGATATTGAATGCCATTCTGTTTATACTCCGTTTCTTGTTTTCTACAGCATGCCCCCCAACAACAAGGCTTTCAGGGTTTCTTGAAATGTGTCAAGCGAGAGACCATTAAAGGAGCTAACGAAGCCTGGAAGCAAACTGGAAAAAGCCCTTTTTAATGTATTTGTGTTGCCTTTGGCTTGCTGGCTAGATTGCTCTTTTTTGTTTGCGTTGTTTACTTGTATACAGCGGTGTGCATCTTCTGCCATGTATTTAAATTTTGCCGCCTTCATTCATAGTTCCAGTGATGTAACATTGTCTGTGTACTCAGAAACTTATACTGGCTTTTGTATGCATCCTATGTACCCATGCTTCACTCACTACAAGGTCCACAGACACACATACAGAACCTGCAGGGAGCAGTCCAGGTGCTGTGCCCAACCAGGCTATGAATGTATCTGTCCACTAACAGTCTGTCCACCCCCCTTCCACATACACACACTTAATTGTACCCTTGGAGCATTAAGCTGGCGATACACTATGCACATTTTGTCCGGTTCTTCATTACCTGACCAAAATGCCCACAGTAGGTGAAACTGTTGGCATCCTTCTGCCCAGCATCCCTTGATCAGAAGATCGAAGGAGCTGGCTGGAAAATGTCCTTGCATTTAATGAGCTTCAAGCACCATTTGGCTGCTGTCAGAATACAATGAAGACAGTGGGGGACTCTTGGTGGAGGAAACTGTTATATTTTCTGTGTTCAGCCTGCAGGTTGAACGAAGAAAATATAACCGTGTATGGGCAACTTTAGACCTGCATACAGCGGAACCTGCAGACACAGGAAGTGATCCTATGTTCATATCTTGATGGGGAGCAATGATATGCTATTATATTGCTCAACCAATCAAAATTGGTCAAATTAGCAGTTTAGCAAGAGATTATCTCCATATGGCAAATCTCAAACCCTAGCACTTTTCCAGTGACCCCAATTGCACTTCAGATTCCCTGCACATAAAAGACACAGGTTTCATGCAGTGAGTATATGCTTTCAGGGAAGTTCTCTGAAAATAGCTGGAAGTGTATGCCGAATCCAAATATGGGAAACTGGCCTGCCTAAGCCGTCACACAATGTATCCTGTACACAAGTTGGGGACCGAGTTTCTTTCTAATTGGTTTCTCCCCTTTGCCTCATTAAAGAAAAACTTTTCTGAGAAGTATGGAGACTGTCATTGCTGACCTCCTTCTGAAATTGCTAGTTGCTTCATCGGTTGCTGGCGCTGCAGTACCTTCCACGCATAATACAGTGCAGATTTGGAGTTCAGATTTCGCTCTGATTTTCCTGATCTGCGCCCGTGACTTGGAAAGTGTTTGAATTTAGTGAAAGACAAAAAACTGGCATTTTTAAAAGGAGGTGCAAAGCATATTACCAAGAAATTGCCTTCCTTCAGTTTACAGGAGCCAAGGTAACAAAACATTGCTTCTGATTAGTTGTCATGGGTCAGATTTCCTTTATTTCTGTCTGTGTACGGTCTTCTTTTATTTTCCCTGGACAAAACATTTTTGTTATGACAAAGTTAAAGATATTCTAGGCAGTGAGACAAGTGGCAGCTGCATGACAACATATTACTGTTCCTGAGCCTAAATGTGTCTTGGATGAGTATGAGGACAGCATGTCCTAATATGATTCAGTAACCTAACTGGAAATCATTTATAAAAGTTGGTCAGATACATTTTGTTGGGTCAGAAGCTTAGACTGGAATACACCTTGGGGAACCAAAGTTTGTTCATGACAACATAGACAATAGACTCTGCTTTACACTAAATGATATTCTCCATAATGGATACTCTACTAATGGAGTTCGTGCACTTATCAAGAGACTTAAGCCATTTTCCACTGCTGGGAAGTGTATTAATACATTTTGATCCATCCATCTATTTATATGTATGGCATAAGCTGAAATATTACAGTGCATATATCTGGTAAACAGCAAGTATTTGTACTATGTGACTTCCCTTTATAAATTCATTACATAGAAGGATGGGAATACTCGGGCCAATTTATGAAAGCTCAAAGAATGCAGCTGAGAGTGAATTTGGGGAACTCCAATAGTTGTCCTTTTAGACATTCACATTTTATATTCACATTTCTGAAACACAGGAGTTATTATCTAACGTTTGATGGCATTCAGTAGTGAGTGCAGATTCACACCTAAGCATTTCCGTTGTTGCACCTTCAGGAAACTGCTGATGAGTCCATTCTCATTACAATACAAGTTATAAACTGTAGCATGCATTCGATACCATTCATTATTCAAAATCCACAGATTTGGTTTGTTTGGTTTTTCTTTTTCATAAAGTGTACTCTTAGGGCATGCACCCTCCACGCATACAGCCCAGAAACACGGTTCCATCTATTAGGTGTTCTAGCCTGTAGATGTTTCTCCTTTTCCAAATACTATTGACTAGAACACCGAATAGATTGAACTGAGATTCTGGACTGTATGCATGGATGGTGCATGCCGTAAGAGTACACTTTCTAACAGAAAACTATACATTCCATCATGGAGCATTCAGAATATGAGTCATATGGCACAGCAAGTTGCCCTTTGTGGACGTGTGGTGTCAGCCATGCCAAGTGTCCTTTGCTAAACTGCTCAATCACACCCACTGTCTCCAAAGCATAGACACTAATTGACTTGTAGCAAGATAAGAGTGGGGGGGGGGGGGGGGTTTAATAGGCTTTTGAGATAACACAGGCAGAGAGCACAGGACAGCTCTGAATCTCTGAGGTCAGCAGGTATATTTTTGCACTTATTAATCAGATACAACAAAATGCTTTTAAAAGGATATTTAGCAGACCAGAAGGGAGCAAATAGAAGTTCATTGTTAGGGTTTCTATACACTTTACGTATGATTTAAACACTAACTCAAGATTACCTTCCCAGCACACTGAGCTCTTACTTGATAACCCCTCACCGGAAAGGCCAGTTTGTTCTCAAACACATCAGTGATAGCGGCCCTCGTGTGTTGAGGAGCAGCAAATGTGGCAGTAGTGAGAATGGTTTCAGGTGTGATAATGGCAGCGATAAGAGGCAGTTTATTGTTGACTCTGTGACTACAGGAACAGTTTACGATTTTCCAGCTTTTACCACTTTGCGGTAGGTGGGCCTCCTAGTTTAGTCATTATAAAAATCTCTGTATGCAGCTCAGGACACTAGAGGGTAAGTGATCATACACAAGAGTAGCGAGGGGTACACACAGATGTCTCTGGCTTCACTGGAAAACCAGGACAAAGCTGCAGGTAAAAACAAATGCCTATGAGATCCTGAGTCTCCAAGTAGAGCTGTTCTTTTATTAGAATTCTGAATAAAACACTTGCTCTTCTTTCTATGGTAAAGTGCATGTCTGATATTTTACCAAGGTTGTACCAGGTAGACCAAACGTCTTAGGAAGACCCACCCATGTGTGATATATATCACTAGTTAAAAGCTCATTCACACTGATGCAGTGCGGTAACACACGGTCAAATACACATGCATGCACCATACAATTTGCATTTTATTGCCAATCATTTACAATTGCAGCCCAATGCACGTGTACAGTAGCTGCAAAGTCATTTTTTGATGAATATTCTGCATATGTGGGTTTGTTATGCTATAAGGTTTTCTCCCAGTCCATTCAAAATGAATGGGTTGTCTTAAGGCAGCATGCCTTGACACATTAAAATGTGCTGCATACAGCACTTCATAGGGGGATATTTATAAACCAGTAACTAACATTCACTGTAGGTGTGCCTTCATGGGACATGTGTTTTACATAACATTTATGAATTCATCTGCAGTGCATTTTTGGTGAATGTCACATTCATGGCCCCATAATGTAAATGGTCCTAAATATTGTTACCAGAAAAATCTAGAATCAGATATTCTGTTGACCTTTTCAGCATTTTTCTAACTTGTGCCAAAATTTTACACATCTTCCAATGTTGGCTTAGTTACTATTCTAAATGTCTGGTCTGTGGTCCCAGCACTGCATGTGTTCAATAGTAATGCATTACTGTTAATCATTGAGGAGTGATACAATTGTGCCAAATACCAAAGAATAATTGTTCTTTTCCATTAACTTCATGTTTGATATTCTAGTGGTGAGGGCAGTTTGATTTTTGTTTTTGTGGGTTTGTTCAGGTTTACAGGTAGAATAGTTTACAAAACAAATGTGTTTGTCTCCTATGTCTTATAGAAGTTTTTTTATCTAAAAAATAAAATGATATATTACCTGTTTGTTTGGAAATGGAATTTCATGGTGATGTTTGGTGTTTTATTTTATACAAACCAAAGGTTTTTGATGCAACTGGAAACTATTAACAAGTCAATGTATCTACTTGAAAAACTTTATTCATAAATTAAAATAAAGATACAATTTCAAATCTGTATTATGACATTCTTTTCATTATATTGTGGAGGGGTTGAGAAGCTCTGGACCTCGAAGTGCAATGGTCTTCTAATGTTGGGTGTAATTCCACAGTCTGCTCTCCAGTCTACAGGAGACTCAAAACAGTTCTTCTAAAAACACAGAAGAGTGTTGTGTCACTAAATGGATACCAAACATGTCCAGACAAATTTTTGAATGGCCATGAAATGCGGTCAAACTACACTATCAAAAATTGTCCCTGAGGAATGCTGAGTTAACCGTTAATGATGGCCCTAGAATTATTCCTTTCACTAAACCTAATCCGACTCCCCTGAAACTGAGGACCAAGTTATCTCTGGCCTAGTGGCTCAGGAATCCAGATGTGGAGTTGGGGAAATCCTTCCTCCCACTGTCTTGGTAGATCACCACAACGGAGGCCAGTCTGAAGGGCTTAGGTGAATCATAGACACCTTATCAATTCAAGGGACTTGGTAGTCATAGGGACCTCATCTCCCAGTGGAAAGAATCCTATCCTTTCTGCAATCAGGTTTGGTCTTATGTACCATCAAGGGGAAAATCTTGACCCTTTAAATCTTATTCCAAAGACCACTAGCCTATCATTCATTGGTCAAGACCTTTATATAGGGTGTCTTTCATATGCCCCTCCTGTACATCCACCTGTGACTTCATGGGATTTAAATCTTGTTTTGTCACCACTTGAACAACCGCCTTTTGGATCTATTCAGGATATCCTCCTTTACACCCACTCACAAGGTTGTGTTACTTGTTGCCATCAACTCTGTGAGGTGTATGTCTGACTTGGCAGCCTTGTCCTATAAAGAACCCTTTTTGGTCCTGCACAAGGACA